CCGTTACATTGCTTGTTGTATTCGTAGTCGGGGTAGAGGTCGTATTACTGGTCGTAGTCGTATTGGTAGTCGGAGTGGATGTCATATTGCTAGTCGTACTGTTGTTTTGGAAAGCATTGTTGTTGAAACCACCAGAACCAGTTACATTACTTGTAGTATTGGTGGTCGGAGTTGAAGTCGTATTAGTGGTCGTAGATGTATTCGTTGTCGGAGTTGAGGTCGTATTACTGGCTGTAGTCGTATTGGAAGTCGGATTTGATGTCGTAGTGCTACTCGTATTGTTATTTTGGAAAGCATTGTTATTGAACCCACTGGAACCGGTTACATTACTTGTAGTGTTCGTATTACTCGCTGTGGTAGCATTCGTAGCCGGGGCAGTTACATTGTTTGTAGTATTTGTAGTCGGAGTGGAAGTCGTGTTACCAGTCGTAGTCGTATTTTGAAACGCGTTGTTATTGAAACCAGAAGATCCAGTAACGCCTCCTGTTATCGTTGAATTGGGAGCTGTTCCAGTTGATGTAGATCCGAAAGCGGTATTGGCGAATCCTGAACTTCCTGTAACGGAGGGGGTACCACTCGCCGCTCCAAAAGCTGTGTTGGTATTCCCGAACACTGATGTCGCTGAGCCGAATGGTCCACTTCCAGTCAATCCAGTAGATCCATATGGAGAAGTCGGGTAAGATGGTCCTGTGTAATAGGCTCTGGCTGAATTCGGTACGTATGACTTCGGTTGCTGTCTGTTAATTTTCTCCAGAAATTTTGAAAATAAACTTCCTTGACAGCATACAGCGCACCAAGTCACTATAAAGAAAGTTATCAACAACCTCATGTTGCTGGTCTTAGTAGTTTGTGGACGAAAAACGAAAGTTTGTTTGACGGAGAACTTGGAACTCGGCAGGTGTTTTTAAAAGTAGGTTTTGATCTACATTTGAATCATCATTATCGATTTTTGAACAAGGGCGGGCAATCAGTTGATGATGAAGCACGTTTTGACTGGAGGAGTGAGTGACAGTTCACAATGGCGTAAAGATGTCCGTAATATATGAGTGGTTCGAATTTTTTTCTTACAAGACCTCATTAAAGGCGTTCAGTCCATTTTACCGAGAACCGATTATTACAGGATGCACCCATTAAAGACAGAGAGTCGTCTTCGCAGTTGCTTGCCATTTTCATTTATTCATAGAATTACCAAATTCGACGGCCGGTTCTTCTGCATTATGGCAAAAAATGTTCATAGCCAATTTGGACTGTCGTCGCTTCCAGTTTTTTCTTCTTTCTGAAATCATAGTAACTCATAATTTAAGTATATTCTTAAATATTTACATGTGAACATTTTGTGTTTATGAAAAAGCAGTGATACAAGACATTAGTCAGGGTATAATACCTACCCTTCAACTGTATTGTGGTACCTTTACGGGCACAGGTACCTCGGAAAATTCTCGGAAATGTTTTGATTCATCTTTATAACGATGCCAGGAGTTGTGACAACTGTGCTTTTGTCATGGTGAAAATTCTCAAAAATCTAAAGATGGATCGGACTTAACTCTCATATAAAGAGACATTTTAGGACTGACCCTAACATTAGTGATATTGCATCCTTATATCACGTCTGAAGAACTGGTAGGACCAGATTTATTGGGTCGTGTAAAGGCTTTATTTGAGAGATATAACCAAACGACAACACGTATTCTGCGAGACCCTTCAATCAGCGGCTAGTTAATATCCCTCTTTTATTTTCAATCATATTCACCTCTATCAACGGTAATCTGTCATATACACCTTTACTCAAGTGACAACATTCAACAGCAATCCTTTAATTACATCTTAAGAATAAGATTGGATTAACAAAGATCAGCTAATTAGGATGTCACGTGAATATGGTGGCCATCATAAACTAAAGAATTTTTACAGCACTAATCAAATACAAATTTAGAGTCTTCTGAGATAGACATTCTCATACGAAACTATCCTGTCCAACTAGCTAGCAGATTGGACTTGGGATTTTGAGCACCTGTTTCTTGATACACACAACAAGCCAGTAAATGGAATTCAACTTTCCCAAAGTGAGTTGAAATCAGATAACGGCCAATTAATTACACAGGCGCCATTTCTGGTTGGGGGATGTGAGAGGCTATGGTCATATCTATTGGATGGACAGGTATTGATGAAATGCTTCATTATCAAAATCAATCCAACGTTTACACTTTTACTACTTAATTTGATTTCGTTATATTTAATAAAATAAGTTGGATTTTAATGCCTTATCTTTCAGTTTTCTTTTTGAGAGGGTCTAGCAATAACTGTGAAATTCTCTAGAACCGCGCCTGATTTTTAAGATTGTCAACGGTAAAAGAAAAGGATCCACGAAAGAAATGCAACTATCAAAAAGTTACCAAAGACCTTTCATCAAATTGCAGAAAGGGTTGTAAGAAAAAAATATTCGTTTATTTTATTAATTTTATTGAAAGCTGATACTTGTCAAACTTGACAACCTGAAACGAAAATAAAATAGAGTTAAAATCCCACAATACAAACGTTTTTCTAGATAAAAGTCTGGCAATACAATACTGGATTTAGGTGTGATGTAAAACGGAATTGAGGCTAACCTAAGTTCGGTTCCAAGTTCTGTAAGTTGGTCTGGTGTAGGTAGTTCTAGTTCCGGCTGTGTTTCCACCATTAGTGCTTGTCCAAGAGGTTCGACTACCTCCGGTGTTACCACCATTAGTGCTTGTCCAAGAGGTTCGGCTTCCTCCAGTGCTTCCATTTTGACTACCAGTATTTGTGGCTGTAGTTCGGCTACTACCAGTGTTTCCTGTACTGGACCAAGAGTTTCGGCTTCCGCCTGTGCTACCACTGTTGCTGCTTCCTGTGCTTGACCAAGAATTTCGGCTTCCCGCTCCTCCACTAGTTCTGGTTCCATTTCCGGTTCCGTTTCGGTGTCCATATGTTGTGTATGTGGTTCGTCCACCAGATGTATTGTGTGTTGTTGTTCCGTTTCGTCCTCCGCTAGTGTATGAGGATCCATTTCGTGTTCCATTTGTCGTACCATTTCGGTAAGTAGTATAACTACCTCCAGTTCTGTGTGTGGTAGATGAGCTTCCGCCTGTTCCGGTACCTCTATTTTTGGTGGTACTACCGCCATTGCCTGTTCCAGTTCCTCTATATGTGGTGGTACTACCACCGTTGCCTGTTCCAGTTCCTCTATATGTGGTGGTACTACCACCATTGCCTGTTCCAGTTCCCCTATATGTGGTGGTACTACCACCATTGCCTGTTCCAGTTCCTCTGTATGTGGTGGTACTACCGCCATTGCCTGTTCCAGTTCCTCTGTATGTGGTGGTACTACCGCCATTGCCTGTTCCAGTTCCTCTGTATGTGGTGGTACTACCGCCATTGCCTGTTCCAGTTCCTCTATATGTGGTGGTACTACCGCCATTGCCTGATCCGGTTCCTCTATATGTGGTGGTACTACCGACATGGCCTGTTCCAGTACCTCTGTAAGAGGTGGTACTACCGCCATTGCCTGATCCGGTTCCTCTGTATGTGGTGGTACTACCGCCATTGCCTATTCCAGTACCTCTATTTGTGGTGGTACTACCGCCATTGCCTGTTCCGGTTCCTCTGTATGTGGTGGTACTACCACCATTGCCTGTTCCGGTTCCCCTGTAAGTGGTTGTACTACCGCCATTGCCTGACCCGGTTCCTCTGTATGTGGTGGTACTTCCACCATTGCCTGTTCCAGTTCCTCTGTATGTGGTGGTACTACCACCATTGCCTGTTCCAGTACCTCTATTTGTGGTGGTACTACCGCCATTGCCTGTTCCAGTTCCTCTGTATGTGGTGGTACTACCACCATTTCCTGTTCCAGTTCCTCTGTATGTGGTGGACTACCGCCATTGCCTGTTCCAGTCCATTGGCGTTGCTATCTCGGCTGATACCGAAACCATCTCGGTTGCCATCTCGGTTGATACCGAAACCATCTCGGTTGCCATCTCGGTTTATACCCCAGAACCATCTCGGTTGCCATCCCGGTTTATGCCGAAACCATCTCGGTTGCCATCTCGGTTTATGCCGAAACCATCTCGGTTGCCGTCTCGGTTGATACCAAGGCCATTTTGGTTGCTACCCACACCATCTCGGTTGCCATCTCGGTTGATACCAAAACCATCTCGGTTGCCATCTCGGTTGATACCGAAACCATCTCGGTTGCCATCTCGATTGATACCGAAACCATCACGGTTGCCATCTCGGTTGATATCGAAACCATCTCGGTTGCCATCTCGGTTGATACCAAAACCATCTCGGTTGGCATCTCGGTTGATACCAAAACCATCTCGGTTGCCATCTCGGTTGCCATCTCGGTTGTCATCTCGGTTTATGCCGAAACCATCTCGGTTGATACCGAAACCATCACGGTTGCCATCTCGGTTGATACCGAAACCATCTCGGTTGCCATCTCGGTTGATACCGAAACCATCTCGGTTGCCATCTCGGTTGTCATCTCGGTTGATACCAAAACCAGTATTCCTGTTATCACGGAATCCATCAACGTTGATTCGGTTGTCTCGGTTGTCTCTGAAGCCATCGACATTGAATCTGGCTCCATCATTTTGTACATTTGGGAATCGGACATCACCACTGTAGACACCTCGATTGGCACCACCAATGTTTTGACCATAAGTGTTGTATCTAAAGTTGGTGTTTACGTTGGGACCGGCATTATTGCCAGTGTATCCGAAACCATAAGTGTTTCTGTAGAATGGGGATGCAGCGTATCCGCCATTTTGGTATCGGAAACCGTTCGAACCAGTGTAGCCACCGTTGTTGTTACCATTGACGTAACGGGTGCTACCACCATTGTAAAGAGTGTTACCACCATTGTATCCAAGGTTACCACCAGTGTATTGAGTGTTACCACCATTGTATCGAGTGTTACCACCATTGTATCGAGTGTTACCACCAGTGTATCGTGTGTTACCACCAGTGTATTGAGTGTTACCACCATTGTATCGAGTGTAACCGTTGACGTACTGGTTGTTTCCAGCATTGGTGCTACTGGCGTAACGATTGGTACCGCTGGCGTACTGATTGTTGCCTCCATTCGACCCACTTACATAACGGGTGTATCCACCATTATTGGTACCGCTTGTGTAACGGGTGAACCCATTGGTGTTTCTGTTGTTACCGTAGTTGAGGTTTTGTGCGATGGCAGAAGCCACCAGAGCAATGAGGATGAAGACCTTCATGGTTCCAGGAAAGTCAGTTACTGGTTGAAGATAAAAAATACCTGATATTTATATATAAAAAAAAATCATATTTCTGAAATAGCCAGCTGTTTTTGTTTAATGTTATTGTATAATTTGGTTTAAAAGGACAAACGTCACGTCCCTGACGTCAAAAATGGCGGCCACCATTATTAGCAGACGACTGTCAGATGTCTGTTTCCAACTGTACAACTCATTAACTTAGTTATTGTACTTTAATACCAAGCACTAACGAAGATTTTTAACAGCTCAGCATTTTGATTGCTGTTTAAGGCATGTTTTATAGACACAAGAAACTGGTTGAATATCCTGGCGATCGTTGGCGCTCTGGTGGAAAGAATTTATTGCCTGAGATGGGATTAACTAATGCAGGTTCTCTACACGCTTTGCAAGCTAAAGACCGATGGCAGACTGAGCAAACACAAAAAATCGAAAACAGTGGTGCTTCCACACAAAAAAACGTTTAGTTGGCCACAACGATATGTGCACTAAAGACAGTAAGTAGACTGAAAAATAGTCCAAAAAGAGTCGACTAATTTCGCTGTCTATACAAATAAATCCTTATTGCTAACTCGGTGTTGCCCGTCTTCAATAGCACAGTTGCAAGGACGTAGGCCTAAACACGTTTCATTTCGTTATGAGGGTTTAATTCGATTCGTTTTGGAATAGATTATGAAATAAAACCCATGTAGCTTTTTGGATAATTTTTATTCCCCTATTTCAATTAGATGTTCATTGCTATAAGTATTTTGGTGGTGGAGACATGTGAAGGCATGATCGCCCTTCTATGACGCCGGTTACCATGGAGTGGATGACTTTGTGGAATCGACAGCTTCAAAAGATTGCTCTGCATAGAACCATGGTGTATATCAACTAACAGAATACCTATTTCATAAACTTGGTATGAATGTTATATTTTGTCGAGTGTAAGAAATATATATTCTGACTGGAAACCTAATTGGGCTAATGAACACTGGCAACGCCATGTAGTACAATTGTCGAGGAATCTTAAACACAGCATGTCTTGGCTAATTGCCCCATCCGAACGCTTTTTCAGCCTCTCCCCCCCCCCCCCCCTCCATCCTGCCAAGAGAAACCGGGTTGAAAAATACGAACACGTACAAGGAAGTTGACATAATAAAATAGTAAGATGCCCAGCTGCTGAAGTTCTCATAGACCACATTCTCTTGCAATCATTAACTTGAACCCAGTTTTCAGCTTCTCCTCCATTCCAGTTTGTCTTATTAGCAGCATCACGATCAAACAAATTGGTCGTAATACTCAATTTAATGTTATTTAGATTTGTGTATCTACCCATCAGTAACTGCATTAGGGAACATGGACTCTGATTTTCATCTTGTTAAATAAATTTGTCGTAATGATGGTAGTAAGGACTGTCATGGAAATAACAGCCCATTATTCGTACAAGACTACTGTGCAAGAGGAATCTTCACGATTGAAAACCAGAAAACGTACGGCTAACTTCATTGTCTCATCTCCGTTGTCTTTAACAATGTTTTACCTTACTTGTCGATAGATATTTATTGTCTTTCGATTTTTAGCCTATTCCAGGAAATAATCAGAGGCTGGTGAGAGTATGTACCAGAATAAAGCTAGGTTTAAACTAAACATCAAAGATAACTTTATGGTTTCTTGAAAGAAATGTTGAATTCTATTTAACGTTCAAAATGCAAAAAGTTTTTTTTAATAAAACATAGAAATGATGACAAAATGAATTAATGGAGTGAATGTAATCACAGCTTCATTCGGTTATCAATTACCCCCCTTTAAGCCGTAAATTGATGTTAAGACATCGTTGAAATTTCACGACCTGCTCCTTACATTCCACTATCTTTGGACGCAACGGACTTATAGATTTTATTATTGTTGGTGTATCTTGACTATCTTGATGTTTAATTCTACTTTTGGTGGTTGGTGTGGAAATCGTGATCCTGGACGGAGGTAAATTTTACCTGACATGCAGATCATACAGCTCTAGGCAATATGGGTTTGTTCAAACAGACTTGAGATAGACATTGAATAACCACCAATTAAGAGTATTTAGAAGCCCATTTATCTTTCTTCTACCTTGTTATTTGAGTATACAATGCTATATTATCATTTATAGGTGGATAAGTGGTCTCACTGCGGTCAAGAACCATCCACAGCTAGCTACTGCTATTCACTAACCGGATAGCAAATACAATTTTGAATTTTTTAATAGTTAGCTTTAATTTCAATAAACAAACGCAGCTCTTTGATATGTAGAATAAACCCTCATCGAAAAGTATATTCTGCATTGAGTGTTATTTTAACATTACCTATTGGTTAAGATGCAATGTTTTTTTTCGTGCCATCCCCGTGTGCTAAGGGAAATGTACGTTTAGTTGGAAATCGAAACTCCATGGCGATTCATTAGCTCAAATCAGCGAAACCCCTGTTCATTCGATATCTAAGATTATTGCTTTCAAAATGCTCTAAGATTACATAACGATTCTCTGGAGGGGCTAATGATCATATCCGCAGAATCACAAGATTATTGATTCGCAACACTCTTCAGTATGAGTAAGGAATACAGTCCAGCTCTCCATATCTTTTACAGAGGACAATCAGACGTATGATTCCTTTCTATTTCAGGGAAACGTAAGGCCGGAGATGTTGCCTGATTTACCTTTACCTAAGATGTACCTTATTTCCATTTCTGATAACATTTATAACCGGTTCCAATAACCTATCAATCTCGATAAGATTTTGATAACAACCAAGAACTATCAAATAAGTAATGGTCATTTCGGTTCTTTTCGAGAATAGCAAGGAGAAGACCCCCTGACGACAGCGAGGACATAACCCATAAGATGGCATAAGGCAACAAGGCAATGATATTACGGTAGAAAACCCAAAAACATGAATGGTTTTCGAATAAGTAATGCTGATGTAAGTAAAGACAGCTCTGTAAAAATGCATATACATAAACATAGTCCACAGGATGACATCGGGCAATGGACTAATCTTATAACTGTAGACATAGGACACGATATTAAAGGCCATCAAGTAGTCTGTGAAATGAGCTTCTACTGGAAGCAGACGTTAACTTGCCATCTACCAACCAACCATCAGTATGCCCCGAGTCCAACCTTTCTTCCCTAGATATAATGACATATTCACGTCATAGTCTAGTTAACGTTGATCACGTCGCATGGAATTAATTGCACAGGGTCGATCCCAGATGGTAAGTCAACGTTCATCACTTCGTACCTATCTTACAGCAATTGCACTTTGCTTTCAAGTGTACAAGGGAATTCCTGCAATGGACCTATAATATTGGTTTAGGAGACAGTTTCCCCCAGCCCAGAGTGTGGAAAAGGGGGTCAGAAGTAGTTTTGAATTGCTACTTTTAAAAAACAATTCTTATTGAATAAAATAAAATATTTATTTGAATATTCAACATCTGCTGTTACCGCTATCTGAAATAGAAAAGGATAACATGTCATAAAGGAATAATAAAAATTCCTGATAATAGAGAAAAACCATTGTACTCATCTATTCTAGCTATGATCAGACGACGATGACCGTGGATTCTTGTCATTATGAGTACGAACTACATGTATATTCTAGCTGAATCAGTGTCTATAGTGATAAGTTGAATACATGATATCAACCAGAGAGTCAATACGCTTTGGATATCAGTTTACAAACGAAATGAATATGATGAAAGGACAATACATGGTTCCGGAGAGAAAATCTTATTATAGAGCTGAGGGAAAAAATCTGCTTCTATTGAATTCATCTAAATAGGTTTGAAGTATCCAAATTGTCAAAAAAAATGAACTATTGATCATAAACCGATTTCCAATAGTTAGTCACAGTGAAATCGCGACTTCGTCAAGCAAAGTAATATGCGTCTTGTGGAATATTGTGTAATGTTTGGCGACTTACATGTTCAACATTTATCCGAAGTTGATGGTCATGACATCTTCCTTAGCAGGTCCAGTCTGAGCATCGACAGAGCTGGAACCATCGACTTTAAAGGTCTCTTCTTGTGGTGTGGATTCAGCAACAGCCGGTTTAGCTGGAAGCATGTCTACAGATCCGAAATCCAAAGTATTTTCAATTGGTTCTTGGTTCTTTTCGACATTGAGATCCAATGTTTGAGGAACAATTTCTTGCTGGGTGGCATCGAAACTGTGCTCAGGGATGATTTGGTGCTCTTGGACCCCGAAAGAATCATCAGCATCGTTTACATTAAAGGATATGTCAGGGTTTGGTTGGGCTACATCGAAAGCATCTCCGGAATTAACATCAAAATCGGCGACTGGAGCTGGTGCGCCACTATCACTATCACCCAAATGTATGTTCAAACTTTCTTCATCGAGACCTTCCTTCTGTTTGGCGTTGAACTCATCCATCGCCTGCTGAAGTTCTTTTTCAATAACTTCTTTAGATGGTGACGACACCGATAAGGATGATTCGTCGTACATTGGTTTTGGAATCATATCAGAGGTCGAAACTGGTAACTCTAAATTGTTATTCCAATCTGTTGGTACCTTAACATCTGAGAGGGATTGGCTTATTTCCATATTATCTCCCTTTTCTTTGATTGTCTCGACAGCCGTTTCACCTAAGGTTTCCAATCGGTCTACAGCTTTTTCAGTCTTTTCTTTAACAGCCCCAACAACTTTGCCTACCCATCGTCCTAAACCCCATCGGGAGCCTGCATCTTGACTTAGAGATTCCAGGTCATCGACAGCCTGTACTGATTTGTCTTTCACAGCTCTATCCAATTTGCCAGATAATCGTCCAAATCCCCATCTAGTTCTCGAACCTTCCTTTTGCTCGGTTGGAAGTCGCTCTTTAATGGTTTCAACGGCGTGCTTTCCAAGTGTTTCCAACTCATCGACAACCTCTTCTGCTTTGTCTTTGACGGCTCCAGCGAATTTACCAGCAAATCGTCCCAAATCCCATTTAGTTCTTGAGCCTTCCTTTTCCTCAATTGGAAGTCGATCTTTGATAGTTTCAATAGCTTGTTTTTTAAGTGTTTCCAACTCACCAGCAGGGATCCTCTCTCTGTTTTATCTTTGAC